TTTTTTTTTTTTTTTTAATGCATCGTGATTTCAGTCGTAAAATAAAATAATGGTGGTTCTTTGTTTTCCCATAATCACCCTCGCCCCAAAAATGTGTTTGGACCACAGGAACTACTGTCCAAATTTTACTCCGCGGCAATTTATCCGGTTGAAAAGAACACCCTTTGAAGATTTGTTGGACTTGTGAGATTTTACTCTCGGGACACGTCTGAATGCGTCTACATTGGAGCGGGTAGCCAAAGCTAAAAGTTCATGGATCATTTGGGCTCGTCCCTGCGATCTGAGTGCGCGCTCATCACTCCCCTTGCTTGACATTGCACCAATGACGTCATAGGATTCACCTTGCCTGTTTGGGCTTTTTGACACCAGGGGGCACTGTTCACCTTTTACAGTGGCTGACTCAGCGGCGCCTGCTCAGTTCAGCGCCAGCTTTCAGACGCTGACATTTAAAAAAAAAAAAAAAAAATCTTATGAACTTCTCCTCTTTCTTATTTCCAGCATGCGACGAGTGGACGCCACTGCCGCGGCCTGAGCTCTTCCACGACCTAAATCGCTTCGGCCACTCGGCGGTCGCCAGTGACGGGTGAATCTCTTTAATACGTCGAATATGGAATGTCTGCCTTCCCGCTGTGACTTTTCAAATGCGTAGAAGTGAAATGAGGTTGGAAATGTGTGAATAATACATGGCTGGCATTTCGTGACATATGAACATGTGATGCAAACACGGAGATTTTTTTCATGTCCACATGAATCTTTTACACCAGGAGACTTGACGCTGGGCCCCAGCCACGTCCGTGCCGCGGTTTTCTGGGTGAACGACTTAAAAGGCGCTTGTGAAACGTCAGACTGGCTTGAAAATTCATCACACTTTCTTGGAAATGTGAAAATGTTCCAGTCTCGGCACGGGCTCATCTCGAATAAAGACGAAACTAAAATGAAGCATTTGCAAAAAAAAAAAAAAAAAGACAAACCCATTCCAAAAATGATGAAAAGAAAAACGAAAATTTCCAAACTGTTATAACCCTGCTTGAAAGTTCCTCACACTGATGTAAAGACTTCCAAGTCTTTAAACTTTGCCTCGTTTTTTTTTTTTTTTTTTTTTGTACTCAATCACGTGTAATGCGAGTCATGTCACATTTTAATGATATGAATTTGTCTTGTGTGCGACTTTTTTTTTTTTTAAGGGCTCTCGGCTGCACATTTTCTCAACATTAGCTCTTGGCTAATTAGCACCCGGTCGGTTGTGACGACCCAAGGTCGTTTGCGTCTCATCACTTGACGTCCTTGCAGCTGCAAAATGTGCCAGCGAGAAGCCAGATGGCGCGCAATGAGTCGGCAGTCCAGACGCCGACCGGCAAGGACGAGTCGCACATTTCTCAATGAATTCAATATGCACGTGGATTTATTAAAAAAATGGATCACATTGATTGATTTAAAATGGCACGCTTAAAAAATATCGGTGGTGTAAATGATTTTACATACACAGTGCATTATTATTTTTTTTGTTAAAAAAAAAAGATTTGTTTAGCAAAAATAACATGTTATAATTTTACATGCAACAATGTTGTCTAGCCTTTCGTGAAGATTTGGATCATTAGATGATTGAATAAGAATGATTGCGTTTTTATGAAAATGTTCTCTTTAAATCGTTTATTTATTCAAAATGAAAGCACACGAGAATAAATTCATTTTCATTCGTGATTTTTTTTTTTGGACCGAGTCATGTCACATTTTAATGATATGAATTTGTCTTGTGTGCGACTTTTTTTTTTTTTAAGGGCTCTCGGCTGCACATTTTCTCAACATTAGCTCTTGGCTAATTAGCACCCGGTCGGTTGTGACGACCCAAGGTCGTTTGCGTCTCATCACTTGACGTCCTTGCAGCTGCAAAATGTGCCAGCGAGAAGCCAGATGGCGCGCAATGAGTCGGCAGTCCAGACACCGACCGGCAAGGACGAGTCGCACATTTCTCAATGAATTCAATATGCACGTGGATTTATTAAAAAATGGATCACATTGATTGATTTAAAATGGCACGCTTAAAAAATGTCGGTGGTGTAAATGATTTTACATACACAGTGCGTTATTATTTTTTTGTTTAAAAAAAAAGAATTGTTTAGCACAAATAACATGTTATAATTTTACATGCAACAATTGTCTAGCCTTTCGTGAAGATTTGGTTCATTACATGATTGAATAAGATATGAATAAGTGATTGCACTTTTATGAAAATGTTCTCTTTAAATCGTTTATTTATTCAAAATGAAAGCACACGAGAATAAATTCATTTTCATTCGTGATTTTTTTTTTTGGACAATTTTTAATTGCCATTTTTAATCAGCAAAATAACACATTTTAGTAATAAAATTCCAAAAGCAAATCTAGTTCTACAATGTAATTGTAATGTCTTATCTCCCTTTTTTTTTTTTTTTGCTGCTTGCAGGGTGATGTACGTGCTGGGCGGTTTCAACAGTCTTCTTCTGAGCGACATTTTGGCGTACACGTCCCCGCGCTGCTCGGCCTTCTCCAGCGCGGCCTCGTGCGCGCAGGCCTCTGCGGGCCTTCACTGCTTGTGGAACAGCAGCCAGGCTTCCTGCGTGCCTTGGGAGGGAAACGCCAACCCGGAGCAGCAGCAGCAGCAGCAGCAGATGCTCCTGTCCTGCAACACCAGATCCTGTAGGTGGCGCCGTCAAGCCTGTGTTGATGACAAAAGCCGCCACGTCACATCGTCTTGATGTTTTGGAAGATGCCTTTTGGCTTGCAGGCATCAAGTCAGTAAGCGTTGGCGTACAGACTTGAAACCTATTCAGTGCGTCGTCTGAAACTTCGGCACGCTGCCGCAAAACTTGGCCATCTTCCAACGTCATGGCGCAGTCATGAAATCTTCCACCCCGTCTGAAAACTTCTCGTTCCGGTGCCACCGCTGAAATGTATTTGATGTGCTCGCCTCGCAGATGCTGACAACGAGCGCTGCGACCAGTACACGGATTGTTACAGCTGCACGGCCAACACCAACGGCTGCCAGTGGTGCTCCGTACAGTGCGTCTCCCTCGGAAGCAACTGCACCGCCGCTTCGGTAATGACCGCAACGCGCGACACCAGCGCCGCGCAGCCGTTCGGAGCGTCGTTCCGGGCCGCATGCCACTCGTCGCCCCATCATTGCCCAACACCACCACCACCACCACCACAACGAGCGCGATGTTAATGTTGTGCCGCTTTTCTTCAGGGTCCCGTGCTGGACTTTGACAGCTGCCCAAAAGACAACCCGTCCTACGTTTGCAACAAGAAGACCAGTTGCAAGAGCTGCGCCTTAGACCAGAACTGCCAGTGGGAACCACGCAACCAGGAGTGCATCTCGCTACCTGGTAAACATTACTCCTTTGCCACCCCCCCCCCCCAAAAAAAAAGTAAGCAGCTCGAGCCAATTTCGCTGGTGGAAAAAGAACGAACTACCGCAGACACTGGCCCAGAACTAGCGCGAGCATAAGCGCGGTGGAAAAGAGCCACACGCGGACGCCAGTGAACCGAGATATGGCCAAAATGGAGAATGATGTTAATGATGCTAACTATGCTAGCAGAAAAGTTGCCTCCCCTATGGAACGGCATCAGCAAGGGTGGCTAATCTTCAAGCTGCTTTGGTGCCTTCGTAACTCGCGCCCGTATTGCGTTGCGTTGCAGATAACGTGTGCGGCGAGAGCTGGCACCTGGTGGGCAACTCGTGCCTGAAGTTTCTGACCGCCAAGGACTCTTATGACAACGCCAAGCTGGCGTGCCGCGGCCACAGCGCCGTGCTAGCTTCCCTCACCACGCAGAAGAAGGTTGACTTTGTCCTCAAGGAGCTGCAGATCATGAGCGTGGTGGTAAGGCATCCGGGGTGGCGTTCGTCTTAACGTCTTGAAGCTTTGGCATGTTGTCTTGTCTACCGTCTCAACTTTCGGCGTTCCAATTTCAAGCCTTCGTCACGCTGCCTTGAAACTTTGTCATAACTTGAAATTCCAGCATGGCGAACAACTTTGAAGCTCCGTTTGTAAAACGCATCGTGATCCTGCAGCGCATGACCGCGCTGGTCAGGCATCAAGGTATCGGGCTCACGGGATCGGGGCTATCGACGGCACGTTTAGCGCCCCTTCCAGACACGATCAATCCATCCCAGAATTGCAGTGGAATATCTGCGCCGGAGAAAGTGTAATTGGAGCGGCGCTGGAGCGAGATGGAGCTCTTTTCTTTGTTTACGCACGCGAAGGCTCCGTGGAAATTGATTTGCAGCCGGGATGGTTTGCCGATAGCGCGCCTTTATCGCCGCGCTCGGCTCTAGCCTGTAAAATTGATGGCGGGGCAAAGTTTTTCCTCTCCCGGCCCCGTTCTTGTGATTGTTGTTTAGTCGTTATTGGACCGAACCCTTGTCAACGTTATTTTGGGACTGCTCCGGAATGTCCCGAAATGTAGAGCACTTCAGGGACGAGAGACAGCTTGACAAATTCTTCATACCATTTGTGATTTGATCATCAACTGCAGAGAATATCAATTTTTTTTTGGTTTCTATATTTGTACCGTCTTTTCGTCAGAGAAATGCCGTCATATCGCCATGAAAGTTAAGCGTACCGTGTTGAAGTCGGCGCTTCTTGATCCGTCATCGTATCGCCTGGAACAAAAAGTCGACATCTGGTCTTGAAACGTCATCGTAGCGCGTCGTCTCGAAACTTCATATTGTCTGAAAACGTATTTAAAAAGTTGGCACATTCTCACCAAAGATTTTCCGTACCGTCTTGGTATTATGCCGTCGAGTTTTCAAAGCGTCACCATGCTGCCTTGATATTGGGCGGTTTTGAAACTTGGCAAGACAGTAATCCCTCGTTTTTCGCGATTCATGGGGATCAGAAATCCCCCCCCCCCCGAATGGTGAACACCGCGAGGTAGGATTTGGCCACACCCCCTTGACACGGAGGCTTTTGGTTCACTCAAAACTCTTCCGCTGGAGGCTTTTGAATTGTTTAAAAACATGGCGATGGGTAGCGTTGTAACGTTCATCTTGTCTTTTTATGAGTTGACATTTTTTTTTTCTTCTTCTTTCCCACTTCTTACCGAGCAGCCAGTTTGAGCGATCACTTCAAGCCATTATTATTCATTTCCGAAGAAAATGACCCGTTCAAACATTTGTCATACCGCCTTGAAATTCTTGAAAACTTGGTCATGCCGTCTTGGAAGCAAGCAAACAGCATGAAGCCATCTTAAAACTTTGACTTGAAAGTCATATGCTGTTCTGAAACATGACCTCAAACTGTCATCGTAGCGTCGTCGAAGGCTTTGAAAGGTTCCCCATACCACCTTGAATTCTCGCTCTCCTAAAATATCAGAATAGTGGTGAAAGTTGCTGTTCCAAAAACGGGCTTTCCATTCCCCGCGCCGCAGTACAAGGCGATGGTGACTCCCTGGGTGGGCCTGCGCAAGATCAACGTGTCGTACTGGTGCTGGGAGGACATGTCGCCGTTCACCAACACGTCGCTGCAGTGGCTGCCCGGCGAGCCCAGCGATGCCGGATTCTGCGGATACCTGGCCGAGCCCGCCTCCAGTGGACTGAAGGCGCAGACCTGCATCAGCCCCGTCAACGGGAGTCTGTGCGAGCGGCCGGGTAAGACCGCGGAACCGTGCTGTGCTACGCTCATGGGTTACCGTAATTTCCGGACTATAAGCCGCGACTTTTGTCACACGCTTTCAACCCTGCGGCTTATTTCATGAAGCGGCTTATATAAAGACTTTTCTAACGGCCGCCTGTGTACCGTCTTTCTTTGTAAATATCTCATGTTACAATATGGGCACCTGCGGCTTATACACAGGCGCGGCTTATGTGTGTACAAAATGTTTTTTTCCTTTAAAAATGTAGTGGTGCAGCTTATAATCAGGTGCGGTCTATAGTCCAGAAATTACGGTACTTTGTGAAAATTCGTCTTTCACAGCAGTTTCACTTTCACCCGCTAATAAACAAAGCGGGTCACCGTGAAGCCACGTGAGCGCGTGATCGCCGGAAGTTGTTAGCGGTCAGCTGGCTGCAATTGCAGATTGCGGGCAGAGCTGTTGCGGTGCATCTTCTATGATTACTTTTGGTTTTATTCTCATTCAAAGTTTGTCTCGTGTATAATTCACCAACGGCACTGGCAAAGAATGCCAATCTGGAGCGCCGGAAGGAGAATTTTTCCAACGGTACGCGTACGTACGATAGTTTCTGAGCTTCGCACGCTGCAAAAGCGCGTCCCGTGCCCGCGCGTCACTTCTGGACTAAGGTCGGTGCGCGCAACGTGCGGTAAGGGGTCGATCGTGAGAGCTCGGTTGCTTGAAAAAAATACGTCTTGGGCACCCCTATGCTGTAAATGAATAATGGATCTCTGTTCCGGAACGGTACCGTTGCGAAAACCGAAATCATCAGTAAGAAGCAGTGGAATCATAGCTGACAAGACCAGTCCATGTACATCCGTGTGCGTGTGTAAATACATATTTGTGATACGTATTTGATTACATTATTCCTCTCGTCATCAGTGCAGCGTCGCCGTTATTGTCAAGCAAATTAACGGTAATGAATTGCTAACGACTGAATGCAAGCGCACGGCCGGCCGGGCACGCGCGCGTGCGTTCCACTCCGTCAATGGCACTCGTGACTAATTGCCTCATCAAACGCAGCCGGTCGGCAACCAGGTTGCTCGTGACAATAATTCACTCGTTGGACTTGAATGCAAGTCTTTCAAATGGGTCAAATGCGAGCTCGCCCGTGCCAATTTGCCAGGCCTGTCGACCACGCAGGCTCAATGATTCCCGATGACGGCGCGTGCGTCTGGGAGGTCGGAACGGAGCCGACCGCTCTCGAGTTTTAATGCGCATGGAGTGCCATTGCTGCATTTTTGACGCGATAGCATCCAAGTACCGCAGTATTTTTTTTTTTTGTTTGTCCGCAACGGCACGCTAAACTTCGGAATTCCTCCGAACCGAAAGGTTGGCTTCACTTGGATACGGAATCTTTATCGGGTTGATTTCCTTTCCTTTGTTGAACTCGTCAGCATCGGTACTTGCGCAGCTTACACAGCTAGCGCCAAGGTACAATAGAATTTTCTGGAAACGATGATTTATCACGGTTAACGTGACATTTAAAATAGTGAAGTTCCAACGTTCCTCGAATTCTTCATCAATTGGTGACTGACGCCACGATGTCTCGAAAGTAAAAAAGGTGCATTACCTTGCGTTGCTTTTGCACAGCCAACCACAGCGCCAAACAGTGTCGGACGCCGTGCGCCACGCGCGCCACCTGCAGCGAGTGCACCAGCAGCAGCTCGGAGTGCATGTGGTGCAGCAACATGAAGCAGTGCGTGGACTCCAACGCCTACGTGGCCTCCTTCCCCTTCGGCCAGTGCATGGAGTGGTACACCATGAGCACGTGTCCACGTAAGACCCGACTTAAACGTCACGCCGCGCCGTTTTGAAACCCACGTCACACCGCCGTAAATCGTCAGCATCCCATCTTGAGATCGGAGCAGACTAGTGAAACTAGATCTTTGACATTTTGTCATCCGTTCTTGGAGTTTCGCTCTGTTTTCTTCAAGTCAAACTTCCGTCACGCCTTTTCCAAGTTGGCCATCTCATCTCGAAACTCGGCCGTAACCGCCCGCTCCGACGCATGAATAAATCACACGTACCGAGAGCAGCTCTTTGATTGTCAATTCTCTTTTGTGCCGGCAGCCGAGAACTGTTCGGGCTACCGTACGTGCGGCCAGTGCCTGGAGCAGCCGGGTTGCGGCTGGTGCACGGACGCCAGCAACACGGGCAAGGGCCAGTGCATGGAGGGCTCGTACCGGGGACCCTTCCAGACCTCCGTGCCGGCGCCCTCCACTCTGCCGGGCCTCCCCGCCGACCCGCCGCCCGCCCTCAACGCCAGCATGTGCCCTGGCGAGGCCCTCTACAACTGGTCCTTCATACACTGCCCAGGTGGGACCAACCGGTGGACTCGAATCGACGCTTGTTTTGCAATTCACAAAAACCGCTGAGCCAAACATTGAATATCTTGTCAGAGCTGCGTGATCTGTTCAATCAATGATTTTAGCTGAGGTTCTTAGGCAAAAAAAAAAAAAAAATTGTCAGACAACCGAGATTATTTGCAACTAATTTTGTCTATATAAGGCATGGGATGGCGGTAAAGCACTACTTTTCTTCTATGGCCTGACTCCTCTCACTTCGTAGTTCATTGGCGCCAAGATGATGTCAAATGGATTACTTCTATATTAGACAGGGCTATGGCCTGACTGAAGGGAGCTCCTCCTCTCATGCCAACATAGTTCCTTGGCACCACGATGCCACAAGATGGCGCTAAAGCAGTGCTTTTGTACAGGTTGGGTTGGTTTACGTTCGTTTTGTTGTCTCGCTAAATTGCAGATTTTGAAACCATCTATCATGAGCTTTTCGCTAGACTTTATCATGTAGTTTGCTGTGATTTAAAGAAAAAAAAAAGAGGGAGAAAATGAAAGATGGGGTCATTTTGGCATTGCTCTTTCACATCTCGTCAATAATTGACCCTTGTCGCTCTTCCTATCAGCGTGTCAGTGTAACGGGCACAGCCGCTGCGTCAACGAGAGCGTGTGCGAGAGGTGCGAAGACCTGACCACGGGACGCCACTGCGAGAGCTGCATCTCGGGCTTCTACGGAGACCCCACCAACGGCGGCAGCTGCCAGCGTCAGTAGAAATCGCTTGATCACCAACAGCAAACTTTTTGAAGATTAACTTTTTTTTTTTTTTTTTTGTCCCTCCCCCCCTTTGGGTGCAGCATGTAAATGCAACGGTCACGCCAGCATGTGTAACACCAACAATGGAAAATGTTTCTGTACCACCAAGGGCATCAAAGGAGACCGCTGCCACTTGTGAGTAGAACCAGCACACAAACATCAACTCTTCCGTCAACATATTGGCCCCCCGCATTGTCTCGGGTGTTATTTTTTTGTTTTTGTCCCCCATTTTGGCTTTGACGTTAGTTGACCATATTTTCTTTCCACCCTCGACATTGCTTTTCATCATTGCTTGTCCCCACCCCCTTACTGGCTTTTAATATTTTGCATTACCCAGACTGCAGTTCTTATGCGCACCAGCGCACCACTTATTTGCACCCCTATTTCGAGTCATCCGCCATGTTTTATGGCATTTCGGAAAATATGTTTAAAAAAAAACGGCTTCAAATGAGAGTTTAAAAAGTCTCACTTGATTATCTGTCAACGTATCTCCTCAACTCTTTTGTTCCATCTGCTACTAAGGGAAGCCCTTCTCCGTCTGATGCGATGAATCTGTTGAGCCGCACTCCTTTCCGCTCCCTTCCTGCCTATCCACCGTTTGTCCGTATTGAACTCTCACACTCGCAGCGCCCCGCACGCCGTCACGCTTGCTGTCCTTTGCGTCGTCCTGCCCGCCCGCTTGCGTGGTTGCGGCGCGCCTCATCATTTAATAAGCGCCATCAAAAGGACGGCGGACACCATTTCCAGGCCCAGCTTGACTTTTCTCGACCACACGGCGAGAAAACCGCGCTGGCGTGCAGCGTGTCGGACATTTCGCGTCTGTTCATTAATGCCTGTGGATGGATTGTGATTACTTCCGCGCACACACGCGCGCCGTTAATGGTCAACTCGAGTGTTTTGCTCGGGTAGAGCAGAATGAAGTACGCATGATGTTTGTTGTCCATCCTTCATAGCGCTGTTGTTATTGTTGATCGGTTTTTATGGTGTGTTCAAGGTGCGAGCTGGAAAACCGTTACCAAGGCAACCCGCTGAAAGGCACCTGCTACTGTAAGTACCAATCGGGGCAGTCATTCACAAGCGCTGCGCTGGGAAACGAGCCACGGGAAAATAATTGTTTGCTTACTTTCCACGACAAATGATGACATCTTTGTTGATCTATCGTTGCCGGGGACATATGGCGACAGGGGGGGGCAATGAGATGATCTTGTTGGACGTCAGAGTGTCCAATTAAAGTGTGTATCCACCCGCTGCCATTCGTACAACCGAATAATAGTTTTGTTGAACTGAACAGGCCGAGACTTCACGCTGAGTGACTCATTTTGTGAGTAAATTTAGCTGATGTCGTCATTATTTCAGTGCACACTGAAGCCCCACCTCGCTTTTTTTTTTTTTCTTTTTTTCTGGAACCAATTGGGCTCTTTATGTAAAGCCCTGTGGTGCCACTAGATGGCGACAAAGCCTTGGCTAATAGAAAAAAAATAATTGGTGTCAAGGAAGTCGGTTAAAAAAGAAAAAAAAAGGAAAGAACCCAGCTTGCGAATAGCGAAAATCCACAAATAATGAATACATTTGCTAATAAATATCGTGGCGGGGGGAAATCAACACATAAGTGACTCTGCGGTGCCATACCGCAAGTATGCGGTGGTCTTACTGTATCTACTGTTGTTTGTTTTGTCCGAAAGTGTGCATAGACAAACACACGTGTTGAAGGCTCTCCTAAAATTTTTTTCGGTGGTGTGCCGTGAGCTCTTTCTAAAGTAAAATATGCATCTTGGGGAAAATCCGATTCAGACGTCGCTAACAGGCGAGCACGGAGGTCAACGCTAACGCGTACTTACGCTCCGCTTTCATCAACGCGCCCCTCATTCGGGTTTGTGCCAAGAAGCAGATGGCGCTCATCTGCATTCAAAGTGCCACTGAAAGTCAATCGAAACTTTTTTTTTTTTTCTTTTGTCATTTTCTTTTTATAGCGGCCGCAGCAGGTTAGCATCAAGCATCTCATTAAGCCCGAGGGTCGACGTGCATAACAGTCTACGATAGTGACTCATACGTTCCAGGCAGGTGGCGGTCACCCAGTGAATTTTCCATGACAATTATCTTTTACTGAAATAATGCTAATACGTTTTACATACACGCGGTACACCGCAGATCAGATCTCCCACCCAAGTGCTTACAGAGATTGAAAAAAGCCTTGCGACTGCATGACTCCAATTGAAAATAGAAAAATAATATGCCGCTAAAAAACATTGACGTTGGACAAAATGTGCATTTAAAAAAAATCAATCACAACAACATCGGCATTGAAAAAAGAAAAGAGCAAATTTAAATACATATTGTTTCTGTTTTATGAAATGAAAGGGCCCGTTTTGGGAAGAGCGCCATCTTTAGTCACATGGATCAAAAAATACGTTTGCACGGTCTTCCGGCTGTACAACAAAAGCAAACATAAAAACCTCATCAGTGCCTCCCTGTAACATTTCAGCATGAAGGAATTGAAGTGACTTCAACTTACTTGGTCTTGACAACTACTACATCTTTGTCACTCAAAACAAAATGGATATTTGCGTTGCCTCATGGCCATGCAAGAAGTTCAAACTTGAATCGATGTCTTTCTTGTATCCTTCCAACATTTGCGGTTTTTTGAAATCGAAACGACTCTCTTCACAAGAGCAACGTCTTGGTTTCTAGAAACAAAGGGAGACATGCGCCGTTTGTCTTACGGCCGAGCAAAAAAAGATCCACATCATTCAAATGTTGTAAGGTGCGTCTTAAGGAATGACAGCGATGTGGACATCCCTTGTCTTCAGAAAAAAAAAAAACTCACATCGACATTTGCGTGGTCTCACGTACCTGCGACAAGTGCAAACCTGTTGGGGGGGGGAAAAAAAAACTTTTTCCAAATGGACCTCCCACAGACACCCTGCTGATCGACTACCAGTTCACCTTCAGCCTGTCTCAGGAGGACGACCGCTATTACACGGCCATCAACTTTGTGGCCACGCCCGAGGAAGTGAGTTTTCGCCACCTCCGCGCGCACCTTTTGCGCCGCCTCGTCTTTTCAACTTTTTTTCTCTCTTTAGCCCAACCGAGACTTAGACATGTTCATCAACGCGTCCAAGAATTTCAACTTGAACATCACCTGGGCCGCCAGCTTCACAGGTAAGCTCTTAAACGAATCGGTTTAGAAATGAATGAAGCCACTAATTTGCGACGGTGCGTTTGATGTGCGTTGTGGGGACCCAGCGGGCACGCAGAGCGGCGAAGAGATCCCCATCGTGTCGCGCAGCAACATCAAGGAGTTCAAGGACAGCTTCTCGAATGAGAACTTTGACTTCCGCAACAGCCCCAACATCACCTTCTTCGTCTACGTCAGCAACTTCACCTGGCCCATCAAGATACAAGTGAGGATGTCGCGGCGTTAGCCCGATGATGTTAGCGTTGGCGTTAGCATCCCGACTTCATTCTCACCATTCGCCTCATGCTCCAACTCCCTTGGCTGAGCCACCTCTGTAACCAAGCGTCTGCATTCTGTTTGGCTTGAAATGATCACTTGTAAACAAATGTGACACGAATATTCGTTCTAACAATAATTATGATAATACTAGAATGTGTTTTCATCTTTTGATTTTAAAAGCAGGAAGAAAAAAAAGTTGACTGAAAGAAACATACAAAGATGACTAAAAAAATAGAGCGACAAAAATAACAAAAAAAAAAGAATCTGACAAGTGAAAAGATAATATGCCACTCAAAAAGGTTAGATGACCAAAAAAATGAAATAAGTAAAAATGGTTGTCATGAAAAAATATAAAGGAAATGATGAAAATGACAAACAAAAACAAAATGGTGACAAAAATAAAAAACCTGAAGGGTTATGATAGAAATAAATACAAATGACAAAGAAAAAAAAGACAATGACACAAGAAAGCAAACAAAAAATGAAAAATGTCAAGATAGAAGTGAAGCAGCCGAGGAAGCAAATGACCAAAAAATAAAAGATCAAAAATGAAAGGGAAAAAAATGCTGCAAAAAAACTTTCGACGCGTCTGCATTTTGCAATTGTGGGAACAATACAGCCCATGATAATAATAGACATAAAAGCAATCAATGAGCTTTTTAAAAAAAGCCGTCAAAGTTGCTCTTGCGATGGCCCTCACTGGTTGTCCCTAATGTTCTGTCCTGTGAGCGTCGAAACGACCTGCAGTTCTTTTTTCCCGGCGGGTATGTTTGTATGTTTTGCGTTACAAAGTCCACCTGAAGCTCGTGAATGGGAATCTTGTCCGCTTTGGTTCACTGTGCGGTCCGGCGTGAATGTGCCTCTTCATGCCTCGGCGGAAGCGCTTTGCGTGTGTTCGCTAGCGCGGCTCGGCCCGCTGACGTTCCCAGCAGATCTGGCCTCCGCCCTCCAAGTTTGCCAATGGCAAAGTATTGCTGGCCGGGCGCTTCCTGCGCAGCAACTTTTCCAGTCCAGTGGTTGTGAAACAAACACGCTGGGCTTTAACCGCCATCTGACAGGTTCGTTTCTCCAGAAGGGAGCCGAAGATTATTGAATTTGGATTTGAGGACTATGTTTTGGATCAAATTGAGAAGATGAGAATGGCCGCACGCGATAGCTAACGCCCTCCGCCGCTGTAAAACCCACCAAGACAGGTAAGCTACCTTAGCGTCACCGTTGGGCTCACCGCTAGCCGGTCAAATATTAGCTTAGCTTCATTTCAGTTATGTTTCATTGAAAAGGCACACACAATGCGGAGACTTGTTTGGGACCATTTGGAAAAAAAAAAAAAGTACCACTATTGAGTGCAAAATAGCTAATTTAAAAAAAAAAACTTAAAATCGAATTACACAGAATAAAAAATAAAATAAAATAAGAAAATACTCAAAAAGACAAAATAGAGTGGCAAACCCCCCCCACAAATAAGACGGACGATTAAGAAAATGATGAAATAATGAAAAAAAAAACGCAAAACCAAAAAAAGATTAAAATAAATCCAACTTCAAGCCAACAATCCAATTCGTTTTAAAACGGCGCACTCTGACCTCCACATAAATACATCCAAAAGTACCTTATAAATATTCATGGCGCTGATCTCACGTGTTCTGATGTTCATCCCGCCCATGCTGACAAACAAAAAGGAACAGCAGCGCTGACCGAAGGGGGTCCGCCGTTACGCGCGGCTGCCAGAGCGGGACGCTGTTGTGTTGCTGTTGCTGTTGTTGCCAGGCGTTTGATTCGCTGCTGGGGAGGAGAGGCACACTTGCATCGTTGCCCCTGGCAACCTTGATGAAGGAGCTTGTCGTGAATACAATTGCTTTTGTCATGATTGACTTTTCATCTGCCCGCCGCAAGTGAGAGCGCGTGCGCGCGTGCCCGCGCTATGGGCAGCTCACGCAAACCTGTCGGCAGCAATGCTACTGATAGCGTGTACTGCACTCTAATAGTGGCCGTCCTACACGGGGTTAGGGCTTCAAATCAGGTTTTCTTAGACAGGGTTAGGGTTTCAAGACAGTAAGGTTTCAAGCGAGACATTTCCACTCGAACCTTCAAATCTGTGCTTGGGTTTCAAGACAGGCTTAAACTTCTGGAATGGGATTTCAAATCAAGGTGTAAAGAAGTAAAGTTCATGGTTCGAGTCTGAAGTCCGGGTTTTAAGACAGGGCGAGTCTTTCAAATTAAGGTTTTCCACATACGGTCCCAAACCGGGCGTAAGGATTCAAGGTGGGGTTTCAAGAGAATGTTAGCGTGTCAAATTGGCCTTTGGGGGGGGTTCATGTCAGCTGTAAGTTTTCAAATTGTGCTTTCAGTTCTGGGCTAGGGTCACATGGTTGCGCAAGTGTGCACACCCTTCCACAAATACAACGCGTCTACGTTCAGAATGAACCAATCGCTAATTGGTTGTCGTCACACAACTTGCCGCCCTCCCTTTGATCCACCCCAAAGAAAGTTCAGCATAATGCACTTTACCCCCAAGTGGGCTCCTATTAATCTTGCCGATGTGTCCCCCCCCCCTTCCGCTCCGTTTGGTCTCCAGGTGTGCTGATGTCATGTTGTTTCATCCACAGATCGCCTTCTCGCAGCACAGTAACTTCATGGACCTCGTTCAGTTCTTTGTCACCTTCTTCAGGTCAGCATACGAGTACACAACACTTGCGTGTGTGTGTGTGTGTGTGTGTGTTGTGCGCGTGCGTCTGTGCTGAAGGCTCAGTGGTCCGCGCGGCATCTCTTCAGGAAGAGCTCTAATGTGTTATTGATTTTTAAAAAAAATGACTGTGAAAGATTGAGTGCGGCGGCGTTTCCGCTGCGCGGGGCTCGATCGCTCTACACGCACGCGCGTGTGCGCCTTTGGTCAGGAAAAGCCAAATGTCCACTTTGTGGACACGTCATGAGGTAAACAAAATCCGATTCTGACTCGATGCTTATTTGGCATTTGACACTGTGAGTTTCAAAGTCTGCTTTCGAGACTGTGTTAGGGTTTCAAATGAGGTGTTTCAAGATGCCAATTTTATGGTTCCAAATATTTGGGCAGCACGGTTTCGGGTTTCAAGCGAGGCTTAAGGTTTGAAGTTGGTTTCGGGGCTGTCTTGGACTTGCACGGTCTGGTTTCGGTTCTTCAACGTCGGGTGTAAAGCCTACGTTTCGGGTATGGAGTTTGGGGATTGAAAGTTCACATCCAGCGTCGCGTCGCGGGGCTCGTCGTGTCGTAATTAGCAGGCAGGTGATGTGTGAGCTTTTGTCTTGGCTGCTCCTGCTGTGTTTACTCCTTCAAACTTTATCCTGCGGTGAGGCCTGATGTTCCAGAAAATTTCCATTTCCTCTTCCCCTGAGAGTGAAACTTGTCGTGGCGCACTGCGGCTGCCATTAAAAAAAAAGGGGGGGGGGGTTTGGGGGGAAAAAAAGAAAAAGGTGCGCTTGGTTCCGGGAGACTCGATGGGTATATTTTTAGTACGACGCCGTCCCGCTGGGAAGCCCACTGCCGCTCATTTGCACACCTTGGCACGTACACACGAACGCACACAAACACAACTCTTCAACACGCTCTACTTAACTATACACACACACACACACACACACACTCGGGTCGTATCTGCCCGAGAACAAGTTGAGTTGTGTGCCGCAGACACAATTATCAACATTTCATTCCCTTTACCAAAGCGACGCTAACAGCCCGGGAAAGCGTCGAAACGATTCAGTCGCGACAACGTCAGTGCTGCGGCTCACAAAATGCAAGCTAGCTATGTCAGAAAGGTTCCGTCTACAGCGAACTCACAATAAACACATACGAGCCTATTTGCTTTCGAGACGATCTTCCAAGAACCCAACGCATCCATTTTCAACACAACTTGATTCATTGGGCGATTTCAAAAGGACCACGGCTGCATACAAAAAGCGCTGTACATAAAGTAAAAAAAGTTTTTGAATGTCCCAATGTGTTTTTGTAATCGCGGAAATGCTTTTACTCATTCAAGAAGAATTTTTTTTACCCCCCCCATTGACCCTGGTTCTTTCCCCTCTAAAGTCATTTCCCTTCAAGAAAAAGTTTGTTTTTTTTTTTTTAATTCAGATGGCAGTTGGCGGGTCGACAAAGCCCCCCCCCCCCCAAAGTCCTGTCAGGTGTCACGCCGGCGCTAGGCTAATTAGCGGCGCGAGAGGGCGCTTAGAGGAGAAGCCGTCCAAGGTAAACGGCGGCAAATAGCAGCTTGACGGTGAACCGTCGAAACACTTTGCGACAGGCGGGCCGGCGGGGATTCACCCGATTTAATCAACCTCTAAATACCACCGTGACTGCGCCGCAGTGAGAGAAACGCAACACGTGTAGCATCTGGAGCGTTTAGCTAACAACGTGACAAAAACACGAAACGTTTCAGTTCAATCCGGTGACCTGCCAGATATTCGTAGCTATTTGCAAAAAAAATACAAAAACCTCGCTGAAACGTAGACAGCGCTTCTTTCAACGCCCGCGCGCTTAATATGAACACAGACAAGCTTGCAGTGAGACATGATTGTTCGGCGCAAGTTAGCGACAGCTAGCCAACAGTGTCAAGCTATCGCTTTTCGATTCAGATAGTCTGATCGGGACCGGCGCTCTCTGGTGGTTGCGTTGCGTTGTGTTAAAGCCGCCAACACTGTCCTTGCGTTTTGTTTTTTTCTTTCTTTCTTTCTGCTATTGCATCCAAATGAAAAAGGTCATTTTCTTTCACGGCGGGAACTGGTGGCAGGAAATCCTCCAAAAGACGTGACGTGACGCTCACCCGGGGAGCTTGTCATAACCGAGGGGAATTTATTTGCGCAATAAAGTTTAAAGGTGGGATCATCAAAATGGAAATGTATTGCGTGGTGGCCTTACACACACGTTATGCCTGTGCGCGTGTTTGCGCGTGCGTGTTTGTGTGTCGCTGACTCAGAAGGTGACACGGTGCGTCGTCATCACCTGTCAGACCTCCTCGGGGATTTCGGGTAAAAGTGCAAAACGCTGTTCGGTTTTTTTTTTTAAGTGCCTGATGTTTGACACGTTTGTCAGCATCGCCCCAGAGTCTGCTCGACAACAAGTGACATCATCGGCGTCGGTGTGAACGTGTTTTTGTGCGTGTTAAATATGCTGCGCGTGAAATTGAAGCATATTTGGGTGTTGTTATTATTCATGAGCATTTTAAAGATATATTTTTTTGGTATTATTCGTTCAGAACTTTGTCTTATACTTGTTTTAGTATTTTAAAAGTGAGTTTGATGCAACCAATTCATTTCTTTGTCACTAACGCCACTTCCTGTGTGTCCGTAGCTGCTTCCTGTCTCTGCTGCTGGTGGCCGCCGTGGTTTGGAAGATCAAGCAGAGCTGCTGGGCGTCGCGGAGACGAGAGGTTTGTCCCGCACGACGCCAGCCGCCGTCGTCGTCTTTTTAAAAAAAAATTTTTTTTAAACATCAAAAGCAAAGTGTGTTTTCATCAATTCCAAAATCAAAAGCAATTCTTTTCCCAACAGTTTGGTCAGCCACCAACATCATGTACACACATTGTTTTGGATACAACTGGATGTGTTTTGGTCAACATCCAAGACAATTTAGTCTTCAGCAAATTAAGCTCTTCTACCAAGTTTAATGGGTTTGCTTTTGTCAACAAAACACTCGGTGCCAGTTTTTCTGCTGTGTGTGTGTGTGTGTGTGTGTGTGTGTGTGTGTGTGTGTGTGTGTGTGTGTGTGTGTGTTGGCAGTCTTTGTCTTTCCCCGGCGCTTTTCAGCGTGAACATTTGGGATGTTTCTGTTTTGGAGTGCTGCATTTTCGAGTGGGGTCCCGGCCTCCAGCAACACGTGGCGAGTGGCGAACTCGGATTTGCTTGCGCGCCGTGCGCGGTGTTGGAGAGCCTCTCGGAGGTCTCCCTCCCCCCCCCCCCGGCCCCTCGCCTCTCAATCCGTCGAGGACTCTTTCAGTATAACCTGCACGGAAACCAACGTTGGCTGTTTGTTGACCTTCCAGCTGAAATTTCCCAGCTTACAGATAATCGTCGTCGTCACAATGAAAACAGCATTTCGTACCAGATTCATTTTTGATCAAACTCGCCATAAAACAAACGGAAGTACACTTTGTAAAATGCCCCTCCTGGCTTTACGTCATGGAAAACGCCTTTGACGGGCTAAACCGTTAGCATCAATCGTCGCGGCGTTAATACCCTTCGATCTATAGACATTTGAACACAAAGGGTGGAGAAACACATGTAGACAGACAATTATCTCATGACTGTTTATTTTTCTAAAGTGTAATATTCGAGAGTGCTTTTTTTTCCTTCTTGAAAGCGCTTAACTTTTTTTTTTTTTTAAAGGAGGCTCAAGGGGATGAATGGCAACCGACATTCTGCCACATATTGAAAGATGTCCTTGGCGAGCATTTTCACTTCACTTCCGAGCACACTGTACCGCTTTTCACCTTGTCTGTTAGCGTGACATGTCTTCGCTTGATGCCTGTGTGAACGCATGTCTTTTTTGTCTCTCACGGCTCGCGCGAGGCATCGAAATCCGACTAATCTCCCTCCCTTGATTTTAATGTAGCATATCATTAGCATTTGGACACGTTCCAGTGTAGCTTGTAATCCTGCTGTTCTGTCAACCCCGGCTGACCCCCCTCAAGCATCCATCATCATCGCCAGCTTCCTTACAGCAGAGGGATTCCCTCATTTGCTCTTATTTGATCTTCTCTTAATTTCGCTCTGGAGATGAGGAGAAGCCCTCTCGACTGACTGCAGCGTCAATTTTGTTTCAGCGTTTGTTTTTTGTGTCTATTTAGAAAAGTTAGCGTGTTGGCCATTGAACCACGAAACTTCGCAACGTTTGTTAGCGCCTTTTAAGCGCGTTTGTTCCACATTCGGTTCCAGCAACTTTTAGAGTCTTTGTACTTTCAGTTGCCGGTCCAGGTGCGGTAGTTCCCGGATCGACGATAATTCTGGCAATTCAAACACAACAGTTGTCGGAACTTATACTTGCCCCCGTGAGTTTAATTTGTTGCCTGACCTCGCTTGTAACCGACAACACTTGCATCTTAAATCATCTTTCTCTGTTGAAATGAATGGAAATGCCATTAATCCGTTCCGGCCCCTCATAACGCCAACGACGACATGCATTTTAAGAAGAAAAATTGCACTCGATGGTGTTGTACTTGATCAGAACTTGATCAGTCAAACTTTGGTCAGCAAAATATTTTTGGGGATAAATGTGCGAAGAGGGGTTTGCCACCACAACATTTATTTAGAGTGGCTTTACCTGTGAGACAGGAACTTTTGGGTCACAGGGACTGTTGTGGAAATTCAGTTCGAGGGCCAAGAAGCCTTTGTTGAATTCCGTGCTGCTACAATGTCGGCCGATTGTTTACGTTCGCGCCGAGCGCCCGCGGCTAACCGTCAGACCTGCTCCTCTTGTCGCCATAGCAACTGCTGAGGGAGATGCAGCAGATGGCCAGCCGGCCTTTCGCCACCATCAACGTCGCCTTGGAGACGGACGAGGAGCCGCCAGACCTGATTGGAGGAAACGTCAAGGTGGGCGCTCTTAACTTTCTCGAGGTTGCGTCTTTTGGTTCCGTTGGCTGACAATTGACATTGCGACCGTGTGCCGAGAGGACAATTGTGCATTATTTCAGCCCGTTGTGTTGATTTCTGTTGTACGCACTTTGCTTCATGCCGCTTTTGATCTCGAAGACGGCGCCATATCAAAAGTGTAAATTAGCGGCCGACTTGCGTAACAAAGTCGTCAACGCGAGTTCATCCGAGGGAGGCGGTGTGGCGTGAAAACAAACGAGTCGAGAAAAGGCAATGAGGATGTTGTTTGTTTGTGCCGCGTGCTACTTCTCTTTCGTGCTACAAAGCAAAAAAAAAAAAAATGTTCCGGAGCAGATGTTGTTTGTTGAAGGAGAAGCGGAAAAAGTTGGATCGTCCGGGGAGTTTGGTAGAACAGAGACGGAAAAGAAAAGCGAGTTTGTCGATGTGGAGCAGATCACGTGAAGAATTGATGGAAGCCATGACTGAAAGGACACTGGCACTAAAACCCGCTTATGATAGCAGCAGGCACTTCGATCGAGATGTCAGTTTTGAGTGGACCCACAAAAACTCTCAAACACATCTCCAATCAGGAAGCCAGCCCCTGATGCCAGTTTCGTTTAGCAACGCGTCAGCAATGACTCTACCTACAAAAAAAAAGTCTCCAGAAGCCCTGTCCAAAAAGAAATTGGAAGTCTGCCATTTTAGTTGGAGGCGGCCATTTTGGCTCTGCAGCGTCCTCTATGATTTGACAAAATTATTCCGCTTGTGGAGCAGGTTTGACTGAGCAACGTGAAATTTGGTTGGCTTGTCCATAATGAGAAATTACAGTTTCACCCCAAAATTAGTCTCCCAGAGACAGGTTCGCTTTGCAACATCAAATTTGGTAAGATTGTATATCATGAGTAGAACCACAAAATAGTCTCAAGAATTCACACCCAAAAAGACACGGGTAGTCTGCTATATGAGGTTGAAGCAGCCATTTTGGTTCCATAACCCTTCAAACCCCCAAAACCAGTGTCACCGAGCAACATGAAACTCGGTGGACATTTCTCTCATGAGTAGACCCACAAAAATGCCATAGTTTGAAGCTGCCATTTTGTCTCTGTACCACCATCATTTCTTTTTTTAATTATTTTTATTCAGGTCCCAAAGCCAGTTTGACTAAGCAACATGAAATTCACTGGGGATGTCCATCCTAAGTAGACCCACAAAAAAAAAAAAAATCTCATAAAGCCATGCCCAAAAAGACAAAAGGAAGTTGGCGGTCTGGCGCGCCAGTAGACTTGAGCAAAAAACTAAATAAATAAAAACTGTTGCTGAAGCTCCTTTTCCTGAGCAACGTGAAATTTGGCAGACATGTCAACCCACAAAAGTCATCCATGGCTGAAAAAAAAACATGAAATCTGCCATTTTAGTTTGAAACAGCGCTTTTGGATGGGTTGCGCCCACTCGGATTGAACAGCAAATCATTGAAATCAAAAGTAGACCCACCAAAACTCATACCTGAAAAGCCACAGGAGACCTGCCATTTTGGTGTGAAGCAACCATTTTCAGCATTTGGTTTTGTTTGTATTGTCACTCAGCGCGGTGTCAGTCGTGTTTACTTCACATGGTGTTTCCCTCTAATTTACTGACCCTTTGCTGATCTTATCACATGATGTCTGCTCTTCTGTGCGGGCCTTATCTGCGCCGATGTGTGTGTGTGTGTGCGTGTGTATGTTTAACAAGCTGGGAGTCAAAACAGCAGCTCGCCGTCGCTATCAGTCCAGTCCTCCTCCGCCTTCTCCATCTGCGCTTTGGCTTTTCTTCTCCCCTCCGTCTGCGCTCTCCTCTTCTTTCTTTGCTCTCCCGCCAGCCGAGATCCAATTTAGATCCTCCCGTCCGCCCGGCCTTTTTTTCCCCCCGCGCCTCCACCGGGCCGTTCGCTCGCACGCACGCCCGCCCGCCCGTCCGTCCGTCCGTCCTATCGGCGCGGCGGCTCAGATTGAGCTTCTCGGGAGTCTCGTCGCCGCTCGTTTATCAGGCCGCCGCCGCCGCGGTGGCGTTTGAAAGGCGACGCAAACCCTGCATACATTCATTAAAAGTTGTTGGTGGCCCTTAAATCGCTGTCCAAAGTGGCGCCGGAAGCTTCTGGAGCTGACGCGAGCCTCATGCATAGCTGCAAGTGATGAAAAAGATTAGTTAGATTACTGACCAATCGCTGTTTTAATTGGAATTAAATTGCTAGTTTCTGCTAGCATTACAGTGCCACAACATAGGAGCTATATAATTATTAGTATTATTTTTTTTTTTTTTTGCTTTGTCTTGGGTCCCGTGGAGGCACCAATTTGTTCAGGCGCTCCGTGAGATGCCGAGAGCAAACTTCACGTCGTTTATTTTTTTTTCCTTTTATTCAGACAAAGAATTTCTTTTTTATCTCAGGTAAAATAAAGGCTAAAAAAAAGAACCTCATTGTCAGAAGAAGAAAAAAAAATCAACTCTTGAGCACAAAAGAAGACAAGATGAACTTGACTACAAAGCAAACTTCACAACATCCGACCACCATCAGTTCATCAGGCGGATGGTGTGACCTGAAAAGAACAAAAAATAGCTTACAGTAACGACACATTGACTGAATGTACGCTCAAGCTAAAATAACATTTATATCAAACAATTTGCTAAAAAGGGACTGCGAAGCTAAAATGTACGTTAGAAACACAAGAGTTGATTTGTTGAGTTTTTTTTTTCTTCGTGGATGAACTGCGGAGATAAATTAGCCAACATTGATCTCTTTGCCAGCCCACGAAGGCTTCAAACCACCCAAAATTGCGATTTAAATGAGCCGTTTATATCAACATTAACTCAATTAAATTCCACTTAACCAAGCAATTTAACAAAAAATGAATAATTGACGATTCGTCATGTCCTCGCGGCCTCATCTTTGATCTCTTGTTTTGGTTAGCTAATTTTGCTAAAAGATTCCAATTAAGTATTGTAATTGCTTCCGGCTAAACAAGCGAACATTTTTTTTTCTTTTTCTTTATGCCCATTTCTGCGTGTTGACAAACCGAAGCAACGGCAAGTCATCGCGCCGCCATTCCCGATGCTCATTTTTGAGCGGCGAGCGATGAAAGAGGCACGGCGGCGCGCGGGGGGAAGGCTAATAACTGGAGCTTAATTGAAGTCGGACGCCTCGCTCTGCCTGCGCTGGATAGATAATATGTCCGCTTGCTGTGTGTTGTCGTGGCGGCGGCGGCGGCGGCCACCGACGGACTCGTGCAAAGCAAAGAAGACGAATTGTTGTTGTGAGTGAAACGTGTCATTTGCGGAAGCAATTCGGAAGAAAGTCCAACGGAGTCCGTGTTGCCTATGTGTGTGTGCCCGTGCGAAAAAAAAAAATTGGGATTGGGAAAGAATGAGCGTGAATGAGTGAGAGTGAGCAAGTTGATGTGAGTTGAGTAGGTGGGGCAAGACCAATGAAATAAAGTGAGCGAGTGTGTGTGCGTGTCTGATAGCTGACAGAGTGCAAACGGGTTCGATTCCGTCCTCGCCACGTCCCCATTGCGGCGAGACAGACAGATAACTCCTTCAATGACCACACCCGTTGATGTTTCTTGCAATTTATTCACCGTGGAGGTGAGTCAAAAAGGTGTAAAACTGTAACACACACACACACACACACATAAAAACACTTACACGTCATTGCAAATAAAACGTGGCAAAACGATGCGCCCCACTGGTCTGACAACGAATGCGTGACTGCGCTAGTGTTGCTAACGTTCGCAAGCTAATCAGCCTTACGTAAATGCTAACTGTAAACAGTTGGAACGTCCCTCAAATGTAAATTCACGGTGAACACACCCCACTAATTAATAATATTGCATACATTTACACAATATAGACAAACAGGCTGTGCTTGGCTTCGAGCGCAAAGTTGCAGTCCATCTTTCGGAGCTTCTCCGTACAACGTGAAACAGGAAGCGCCTCGCGCAACAACATCCGGTGTGCCTTTCACAATAAATGACTTTACAAAATAAAGCAGCTCCGTAGCTATAGAAACAGAAAACAAATGTTACTTGGCTCTTCAGGAGCCAGAATAGGTTCAAATGCAGACAAATGAGATTATGCACGCACATGCACACATTCCCGGTGGTAAAATTAAAAAAGAAAAGAAAAAGAATAACCAGACATAAAAAAAAAAAAAAAAAAAAAAAAAAACATCTGAATGGAAGTTGTTGAATAATTCACACCAAACAAGTTGATCCTCTCCCTTTCTTGCTGCCTTCAGGCAAGCCTCATAAAACAAGCGCTTTTCACCGAGCGCATTTGCAACGGCTGTGCGTGCGCACACACACACACACACAAACACACACACACACAAAAGCACACTTGTCATCGTCGCTGGCAAACGTAAACATCGACGCACATTGAACGTGTGAAATAGGTCAAATTCCGAATAACATTATGGTGCTGCTTATGTTAGGAGTGTGTGTGTGTGTGTGTGTGTGTGTGTGTGTGTGTCTCTCCACTGCGAAAGGTAAAACTTTTTAATTGCTTTGGGCTGAGTGCAAAAACGGCAAAGAAGGAATCCTGGCGCATGTACACCAGGCGATCCACGTGAATTTGAGATTGAAAGCGATTCCTTCCCCAGCGCAGACGCGCGCGTGTGTAAAATATGAAATTAGATCTCAAATAGTCAATTGACAAAGGACAACTAAGAAAACAAGCAGATAAAAATCGAAGCATCAGCTCAGACGTCCCCCCTTCACCTGTTTTGTGGGTTTGGTCATATGACGTTGGCAATGCGAGCCCAAGGGCACTTAGACGGTCATTTCAGTCGACGGCAGAGGCCGCTATAGGGACAAAATGGATGGATTCATCTGCTTTAATTCGTACTCCTTTAATGCCTTATTATGGGGTGGGGGGAATCAAATCGATCCAAAGCTGGAGTCGTGCATGGCAAAGAAAACGTTTGTTGGATGATGGCAACGTTCTTGCGTTTGTCTCCAGTGCGTTCCCAAGCCGATTGCGTTGGAGCCATGTTTTGGGAACAAAGCGGCCGTGCTTTCCATTTTCGTTCGTCTACCGCGAGGCAGCGGAGGAATCCCGCCGCCGGGGCAGTCGGGTAACGTGACGACACTCCAAACCAATCCAAATGGGTCTCCTCTCAATCGAGGCGCCGACCCTTTCCCAATTTCCGTTCATTTGGCGCCCGAGTGACGCTCGCCGCGGGTTTTCATTTTGCTCAGGTCTGGCCATGGCGAGCGCTCTGGTGGACGTTTCGCAGCAGATGTGTTTGGGCTTCAAGGAGAAGTCGGGAGGCCTGCGCAGCCGCAAGCAGCAGCCCAGCGCTCAGCCCTCCACCTGCATCTGACCTCCCGGCGGCTCGGCCGCCGAACCCCGCCTCCTCCCTCCCTCGGAGACTTCTCACCCGGAAGTGGTGCATGCTGCGGGACGCAGGATGAGAAACAGTCTTGACCCCACTTTCATGCTGCTAGAAGAGATTGTTCGTCTCGTCCCATCCAAGACTACTTGGTTTTCTCCTCGTTTTGTTTTTGTTTTTTTTGGGCTTAGTTGGAAGGACATTTTTTGGAGCCAACAATGACGGAGCCCCCGAGTAGCATCCCTGAGGACTCCCCGGACCTCCTTACAAGCTTCCTCAAAGAGTCCATCCTGTTCTGTTCCTAATTTGAAATACCTGGAGGACGGACGCTTTGCTCTCTCACGGATTGGACGCATCCCCAGATGGTCGGAAGGGATTCCTCCTCCAAAGGTAACCGTGGCGATTGACGAGCTCCTGTTGGTCCAGGTCAGTCCGGCACCTTTTAGGCAATGGAGTTAGCTCCAAGCTAGCTCTTTGCGTTGTTTGTTTTTAATTGTGGGGGGCGGGGGGTAAAGAACAACTCATATTTTGGCATCTTGTGTGATTCCGGCTAGTTCCTGTTCTTCCACGCAAACTTTGACAAATTTTTGTCGGGTTATGGAATAATGTGTTATGTGAAAATACGGAATGCTGAATTTGCTCGTCTGTGACTCAACCCAACTTCCAGCGTCGCTCACCAGTTAGCTCTTGACTGCTGTTTTTTCTAGAATTGTGAAGCAAAAAAAAAAAAACCCCAAAAACCACACACGTTTTATCTTAGGTGAATCGGAAGCACTTCACTCACCATTGTTGGTGGCGAGAGCATATTGGACCAATTGTGGTCAGATTTGAACTACTCGTGCGAAACTGTGGGAACACTCAAATCGTTTTTGTTGACACTTTGCTCTTGATTTCAAACGTTGAAACATAAACAAAGTACGGTTTTAGCTGCTGTAAACGAATTAGACGGCAGGACAGAAGTAGCTAACAAAATATCCGGAGGTCCGTGAGAATTGGGGAGCCTCTTTTTTTGGGGGGTGGGGGGGGGGGGGCACCTAGAAAACGCTGCTCTCCTGATACTGGAATGCTGAAACATTGACGCCATTTCATTTCCAGCGTCGCACAGCAGTTAGCGCTTGAAAGTTGCTTGTTCGAAAACAAAACGTGAATTTTACACGAAAAGTTCAGAATTGCAGAATGTGGTGTTCAACTTCCTTCCCACTCATTCCTTTTCATCATCCAAAAAACAAGCTGAGCACATTTACACAAAAGGCAAACAATTTTTTTGGTTGGCTTTTCGCAGTGTTGTTTTTGTGTTTAGTTTTTGGCTGCCTGCTAAAAGTGAAAGAATGACATTTTCATTTCATTCAAAACACTAAATGTGAATATGAATACTTTATTTTATTATTATTATTATTATTATGTTTTGGTGCTACCCCCTAATAGTGTATTTATTCGCGTCGTCGCGAGTTCTTCAGTTGTTTTGTTGCCAGCGCCTTCATACATGGCTAGCTCACGTCGCGAGTTTTCAAATTGTTAAAAGAAAAACAAAAAAACGGTTGCCGGGTTCATCGCGTTTCCACCAGCGTCCAATTTTTTTCAGCTGTCTTCAATTTCAAAACATTGAAAAGTACTCTTGTCATGTTTTCACTCGCCGGTGAACGCTTGATTGAGCGCGGCTATTTTTCATGGAGAAACACATTTTTTTATTTTATTTTATTATTATTTTTTTTATTGAATATCCCAATTGTTTGTTTAGTGGCCTGTCCTTGAGAGTCTCCTAACCCCCGCCCCCTCTTTTTTTTTTTTAAACAATTATTATTATTAGCTAGTTCCCAAACGTCCAGTGTTAAGCAGATTTTTTTTTATTTTTATTTTTTTTTATTAAAGCGCATTTATTTCCCAGCTCGGGGCTTTCCATCATCCTATAAAAATCAGAAGATCCAAGAATGAACGCAAGACCAAATGTGACATTATTAACTTTTCACCCTGAGAGGAAAACAGTAAATGGGGGGGGGGCTTAATAAAAATAATGGAGTTTGCCCGAGAAGTCTCTTTGAGCTAAAGGTTGAGTAGCAACACCACAATGTGTTTTAATCACGGGGAGTCATTATTTTGTCTCGAAGTTTTGCTGGTTTTCCCGGCGGAATTTTTGGGAGTGCTTGGAAGTCAACATCCATATTTTGTTGTGCTTGACATTGAACATTTCATTTAATTTTGTGCGTTATTTTTTTGTGCTACAAAAATGAGCAAAAAAATACGGAATGCTTGGAAGTTTCCCTGTAGATTTTTTTTTTTGACAAATTGAACCACAAGAAAACATGTTCAAGCCTGATTTTACCCTACTTGATGTTGAATGTTGAGCTTGTCATTGTTTTCGTTTTACAATGTAAATCCTAATGTGAAAAACGAAAACATTCAGGAGCAAGTTTCCTTAAGACAAAAAATTATGAACTTTATCCTACTTTCCATTGTTTTTTTAAATGAGTGATACTTTGATGATTTATACAAAAAAAAAAAGATTACTGATGAAAATAGATTTTCACTTTCCGTTAATCTTTAACATGAAAGTGTGAAACACTGAACGACTTACTTCGCTGTACTTTGGAGTCGGAAATTTCCATGACAATTTTTGAGGGTTTTTTTTTTTTTTTTTTTTTTTTTTTGCGGCATTAGTCATATGGGACTTTTTTGTTTTGTTTTGTTACATGAACAAATCACCGCGCTAACCCGAGCTCAACGTTTGTGAACAATTGCGAGTCTGTCCATTCGCAACTGGAATTTATATATATATATATATATTTCTTTTTTTTTTGTGGAGTCAAAGCTGTTTGCTGGATTTTACTTTTTTTTTTCTCTTTTTTTAACTTGACGATGTGGCAAGTGCGTTTCACAGATTATCTGGGAGGCAAACTAGAATGTTTGAAACCGCTGCAATAACACACAAAAGTAATTGTGACACGAAAATGGAACGTTTTGCTTTTTTTTACTGCCGAATTTCTCACTTTTTTGGTGGAAAAAAAATGTACGTAAAATTTCCTCGGTTTGTTGGCGATCCCTTTCGAAGAATGACAACGAGCGTTTTGTACACAATTGGAAATGTATTGCCAAATGCGAGTCTGTCCTCTGTCCACGAATCATTTTCAGAAGTTCGTGTTCCTTTTTCCGATCATATTTCGAGTCTCGTCAATTCCTCCGAACTGTTGTGGCCCCGCGGTGCTCAAGTACAGATGACAAAATTGGGCTGTTTCTGCCATCCCGTTGTTGAACTGTTTTGCAAAATGTGACGTCGACTTTGCACGATATTTGCACAGGGTCCCTTCACGCTTAAATCATAAGAGTGGCTGATTTTTGAGAGCAAATGAAAATAACGTTAGCCTTTCTGCTCTCTACCGATTTATTTCAAGACGTCTTTTTTTTTTTCTGATAAAATCTCAAGTTTTACCTTGTTTACATTGAGGCATTTCTTTTTTTTTTCTTTTTTTTTTTTTTAGAATTGTTTACATCTGCGCCGTTCTCTTCATCTAACGCACAGTGGCTCCATTTTCAAAGCTCAGCGTTCCGCGTGCGTAGCAGTTAGCGTTTAGCGCTAACGTCCCTTCTTGTCGGCAACCTGCGTGGGCGCAAAATTTCATTTCGTAAGGTATTTTTTCGTAAAGCGTAAGCTGTGATGTCGGGAAAAAGCAACGCGGGAGCATCATGATTTTCATATGCTTACAATGAACGGTAAAAAAAAAAAAAAAAACTTCGATTTTTCTTTTTTGGGGGGGTTGGCCAGTGTCCTTGTACAGCAACGACTTAACAAATTGCGATAATCTTGACATTTTTCACAAACAACACTGACTGTATTTTTATTTTTTTTTTTAACCTTTCGATGGTTTCAAGTGGAAGCGCGTATTTGAACGGCAATGCACTGGTTGGAGCAGTCGAACAACGTCGCCACCTTTTGGTTGGTCATCATCTTGCGGCATTAAAACGTCCCGAGTTTGTTCATACGTCTTTTGTACATAACGGGGAAAGTATTGTGAATGACATTTTGTTGAATGCTTTTAAACAGCAAGAGTAATTTATGCTCCTTTTAAAAAAAAAAAAATAACGTCATGACTAACGTTGATGAATTAGCATCTTTTGTAAATAGACGGCAAGCGAGCTCAGCTCAGTCCCGCTGCTTTGCTTCTGTTGTAAAAGTGAACTAGAGAGCTTCTACATTTACCGATTGTACAGACAGAAAATGACGCAATGTTTTGGACTGATTACATGTGGAAATAAACAAAATAAATTTAAAAAAAGAAAAAGCGAAGTATGTTTTTGCTTTGTTTTTTTTTTTTGTTTGTTTTTTTATGATGGTTTTAACATTTCTGGTCAATTCCAAATATAGATTGCTTTTTGGAGTCTTCAGGCTCTTCTTCCTCTCCGGAAGGCGTGTCGGTGGAATCGCGGCGGTCTTCCACGTATCCTCCCCACCGACTCGGAACAGCCCCGATTGAGGTCGGCGGCACCTCCGGACGACGTTTTCCCCAGCGCCCCCCCCCCCCTCCCCCCTCACTTAGCGGGTCGGTATCATGTCAACTGTCCTGCGGGCCAGCTTGAGTCGTCGGTTCGATGGCTTCCCTGACCGCCGGTTCGGGAATCGCCGTGGCGACAGGCACCGACCGTGGCCGCGGCTCCCGATTGGTCACCTCAAGCAAAGGAATTTGGCCCCGGGGAACAGAGAAGGGAAATTGTGGACCCACATATGGTTTAAAAAAAAAAAAAATGTTATCCAAATATGCCCGTATGATTGATTTTTTTTTCCCTTAACACAGAGCTGCTGAATTGTGTTTCCTTTTGCCACAAAGACGCCAGTCTGCCGTTGGACGTTTGATTTTTAATTGAGTGAAAGTGTTGAACAACACGAGAAGAGCGAGCGAGAGCGAGCGAGTCTTTTCAGTTCTTGACTTGGGCTGTCAATCGTCCCCCGGTTGTCACGGCAACCCAAGTCTCCTCTTCTTTCAAACCGGCGGCAACGTTTGAATGTTCCAAAAACAAAAAACGCCATCCGGTGACAAAATTTTTGAAGCCTTCCAAACAGAAAAAGTTTCTCCGTTGCCGCTTTCATGCGGCCATTTTGGTGACGCTAACGAGCCAACAAGCTAATGAGCGCGTTGGCTCTTCTTGGAGCTTAAACCACTTCCCCAAAATGGCTCCGGTGGCTTTTTTTTTTTTTTTTTTTTTGTGCTCTGTGAAAGCAGCAGTGCCGTTGAAAAAGTTTTCGTGAATTTCCGTCACGTGTCCATGTGAATTTCTGCCGGGGGGGATTATTGAACTCTTCTAAATTGGAAATTTTCAATGGGAATTAAGTCAGAATTGGGGGCGATTTTATGGAAAAGAGCTCATCTTCGGGCATACTGTAAATAGAAAATTTTTTCATGCAGAACGGATCGCTCTCCTTGCCCACATGCGAGGGTATCACAGTACCTTCATTGCTCTATTTATTTCTTTATTTAGATTTAAGTAGTGGTGCTAGCCGAAGCTCATAGCGAACTCAAATTGTGCTTTGCAACGCAGAGCAAAAAAAAAAAAAAAATGGGTGAAAACTTCAAACTTGGAAAAACTTGAAATCTGGCTGCGTTGGGATTTTCAATTTTGTCAATTCTCGAGAAATTCCCATGGAAAGTTTCCCCCTTTGCAACCTTCAGCGCTGTTGTGCTTTGGCGGTTTGGCCCAAGACGAAAGGCTCGTTAACAAATGGGCTTTGTTTTGGTTACATTGTGGGGGAGTACGGCAAGAACACACCAAAAAAATTATGCATAGCATCCACACAAACACAAACGCTTGTCTTTTTTTTTTCCCATCCATTAAAAAGTGTTCACTAAAAGTTGCGCACATTTTTGTGGGTTTTTTTTTTTTTGCCGCAACATGACAATAACGACAACACAAATGTGTGCAGTTAGCGACGGGCGGTTAGCGACGGGCGCTAACCGGCGTCAATCCTCTTTCCACGACGACAACAGCAAAAATAATTTGTAATCCGTCTCCGTGAAGAGTTTTCTTCTGTCGACCGTCCTCCGCGCGCCACGTGGTCAAGCGGGAAATGTTGGGGTGCGGGAAAAGTGCAGCGTCGCCACTGGCCGTGTCGCGCAACCCCCCCTAGTGGCAGCGGAGGAGAAGCGGCATCATCAGGAGCCAGCAGAAGGCCAGCGGGAGCGCAGGCAGGAGAGGACGAGCGGGCGTCACGGCGCCGTTGCCCTCCGACAGGTCGGGCGACGCCAGCGTCGAGTCGCCCGAGTCGCCCCAAAGGCGCTCGTTGCCGTTGTTGACCTTCGGGAAACAGCCGCAAAGTTACGCCCCAACCTCACTCCCGTTTTCTTGATTGTATTTACATTTCACATTTGGAGATTTTTTTTTCCTCTCACAAATATGTGATGATCAATGTCATTTTATACCTTTTTTTTTTTTTTAATGTAATATTTGGGATTGGGAAAATAGAGATTTCTTTATTTTGCATTATCGTTCAATTTTTTTTTAAAACTACTTTTCATCACCCCAAAAAAGTCTGTTGATAAAACGGTTTTATATTTTTTATCCATTTTTTTTTTTAATTCATACGTGTTGTGTTTTTCTCTTTTTCTGGTGAATTTTATCAAAACCTTTTATATTCTTCACATTTTTCTCTTTGTAGTGCCGTTGTGGTTTTTATTCCAACATTTGTGTATTTGTTTCAAACGGATTTCCAACCATTTTCCCAACATATTGACGTACATTTACATCAATTTTCTTTCGTACAATATTTTTGCATTCTTTTTCAGGGTTTTTTTTTCCTTTCTATTTTTTTGTGTTTAACGTATTTTGGTCGAAGTTTTAATATTTTATTTTGTACAATATTTTGAATTTGTTGTAATTTTGCATTACTTTTGTTTTTTGTCTAATAGTTTCGACGTCTTCTGATATGCTAGATTTTAGTAATTTTGTTTTTTTCTTTTTTTAACAATATTTTGAACGTTTTGTAATTCATTTTTGGATTTGACTAACCTGAGTAGGAATCTGGGCTCTCAGGATGTTCTGCGCCGTTTCCACGGAGACGTCCGGCACGCCGGTGGCCCGGGGAGCGTCGTCGTCGCCGTCGGCGGGCGGGCTTGGGGCTGCGCCGCCCCTTTTCAGGTCGGAGCTGTTGCCGAAAGCCAGCATGGCCTTCTCTGAAACGGGACGCTTTGGTTTAGCGCCTTCTGATGAGCGGCGAGTCCAACAGCGGAAACGCATGAGCAAAAAAAAAATACAAGGTCCGAAAGCCTTGTGGCTTTTCTCGTCTTGCTGCTTGCACCACCACCATCATCATCACCATCATCATCATCATCATCATCAAGTGTGCTGAGGGTGAACTTTGTGGAACTTCAACAGATGAGACTTTTGGATTGAAAAAGTGAACCTGATTTCAATATTCTGAAGATTTAAAGTTCATCCATTGTGCACTTGGGTCCCATTCATTCAAATGCAGTGCGTTTTTTTTTTTTAAATATATATTCGGTGTGTTCCGGAGTGATACATGAAGTTTCTTCCATGATGACGGAAGTGACGCAACAGCGCACAGTATGGCACCTGCTTCCCGCCGTAGCGTCAGGCAGAGCTACGAGGAAGTCGCATCTGGTTGATGGTCCGCATTCATTTCTAATTTTCAAAGAATATTCCACTTTGTTTTTTTTTTTCAACCGTGTGCTTAATTAGTTCCCCGATTCGTTCGGAGCCTCCATTGCTTTTTGTGTTATTTAATTAACGTTTTGTCGATGGAACGTTTTTCCACGTTGAGATGATTGAAGTGCTTGTCTGTTGCTTGTCATGTCAGAGACCAAATGCGACTTCGCAATTGCTCCCGCCATACTGTGCTGCCGGGTAATGTTTGTTTCTTTTCAGTTTTACTCTATATACTGTACTTGTTTGTGTTGTTTTTCATTTGGTTGCTCGTGTTACTGGCGTGAGCCCGCGGCTCGTCGCGGCCGCCATTTTGGTTCGTCGCGCAGCCGTTTCTGCTGCGTGTGATGCGTTTAGTGACATCTTGTAAAAGACAGTGAATGTGTTCTTTTCCTCCTTTGTATCTCGTTATGATACGATCACCCACTGGGCGGGGCGTCACCATTTGTGGGTATTTTTTGTGGATCGTTCCAACCACTTGCCGTTAAAGCCTCCCCGCATTGACAAACGTATGATAAGAAATGAAAGACGCGATGATACCGTGACGTCAATGGAAAGCGGACGCGTATTTACTCAGGCAGACGTTGTCGTGGAAGGAGGCCAGGAAGCTGGCGCACTGCTCCCGCTGGTGTCCGCCGGTAGTGCAGGAGCACCAGGGTCCCACGTTGGAGGTGCTGTTGTCCAGGTAGTTGGGCGTAATTGTGCTGCCTGCCGCGTTGGCGAGAACACATCACAGACGTTTGCGATATGAAAGTACCAAATTGACCGTTCTTAAAACACGTTGATGCTTATTCCCCGCACCTGCTGCCGCCCGAGTGTGTTTGACCGACTCGCCGCTCTTTGATGCGGGTCCGTCTTTCCTTTGATGACATCCACGCACGGATCGATGCGCACGTGCCGGCTTTTATGCGCACGCGAGGCTTCTGCCTCGTCGGATTCTGATAATTAAGCTTTGAGGAGTCAAGGCGACGGACGACTCGACGTGTCTCGCTTTGATTTCAAACTCCTCCTCCGCCCTTTGAGGGATTGGAAAGGCACGGCCAAATATCTCTCAAGTGTATGGACAGCGTTTCATCTATCTGCAGTGTACATATTTGGGGCGTCCAAATCGTTGGGCAATTGTTCTAAATCACGGGCCAAGCTTTCGTGAGATTTTAGGCCACAGAAAACCTTTCGTCTACCGAAATAAAATGTGCGATCATATGAAATGTATGCGAGATGTAAACTCCCATGTCAACTTGACGTAAACTCATTTTCCGATAGTCGTTGCATTCACTCAAAGGGTGACGCGAGTCCCAACAGTGACACCAAATTGAATTGGATCGTGAATTTCTACGGTAACCGCTAAAAGAGGATTAGCAAGTTCGCGGCAGCGGGGAAAAGTCGCCGCATTAGCAATTTATATACACTAAATAAGCGCTAAAAATGGCGGCACTGTAAAGGTCTCTTTGGAAACCTCACGTTCTCATGCAAATTCATTCAAAACAAAATTGCTGCAAATTAGGACTCGCGAGTCAGGGTTAGCGGCTCCAGTTCGGGTTCCAAGGCCGCGGTAGGAGTTCTCCAAAATTTCCGTGCCTCACTCTGGTGTCAAATGTGTGCCAGCATGCACCATCCGTCCCGCCAAACGCTCGCCGTCGTTGCTGCGTCGCTCGTGCTTACCAATGAGGCCGGTGTATGCCAGCAGGCACGCCGCGTGGTTGTCCTGCTTGCACCCGCTGGAGCTCTGATGCCACGGCTGGCAGTCGTACTGGAACTGAGCCCAGCGGGACCTGAGACGAGGACGGCAAACAACAAATCCCTTCATCATTTTTTTTTTACTGCAAGGCCACACGTCATCATTGTACAAGCCGACTTCCTGAGACTTTTTTTTTTTTTTTTTGCGTCACGTCTACCTGCAGACGTAGTCGGCTTTGCAGACCCTGAGCTGGGCCAGGCATCCGGGCTTGTCCTTGTCCTCGTAGGAGCACGCGGGCACCACGGTCTGGCGACGGCGCTCGGCGCACGCCGTGTCGGTGCACGGGCAGAAGAGCAGCTCGTGCGTGTAGTCCGGCGGCACGCGGTCGAAGAACTTGCGCAGCGCCTTGTTGCACTTGGGCCGGTTGCACGGGCCCGAGCGGGCCGAAGGCTGGATGCAGGACGACACGTATTCGGTGCGCAGCTTCTGGCACGTCTCGTCAATGTTGCAGGCCTTGGCGGCGTCCAGGCAGCGGTTGACCGTTGTCACTTCCGATTCTGGAAGCGAGACGTCACCCGGTGTGAATATATGGACATTTCAGGCAGTCGTCGGCACCCACGAATATCTTCAAGGGTGCTAGTGGGTGTTTTTGGAAAATGGAAGGCTTCCTTCCATCTTTTGAAGCCTGGCTTCTTTAAATGATTTTGTAGGTGGATGACATGACTCCTGAAATTCATGAAAGTGACTCTGACGGCTGGATTTCCTATTAAAATTCTGGAGAGCTTCAAATCAAAATGGTTGACTTCCTGTGTGTTTTTTTTTTGTTTTGTTTTTTTGGCGTCCTGAGAGTTTTTAATGGATCTAAACATACGAAAATAACGACCATGTATAGTAAGGCGTTTTTGGCCGAAAATAACGACCATGTATATATAGTAAGGCATTTTTGGCCGACAATAACGACCATGTATATATAGTAAGGCATTTTTGGCCGACAATAACGACCATGTATATATAGTAAGGCATTTTTGGCCGACAATAACGACCATGTATATATAGTAAGGCATTTTTGGCCGACAATAACGACCATGTATATATAGTAAGGCATTTTTGGCCGACAATAACGACCATGTATATATAGTAAGGCATTTTTGGCCGACAATAACGACCATGTATATATAGTAAGGCATTTTTGGCCGACAATAACGACCATGTATATATAGTAAGGCATTTTTGGCCGACAATAACGACCATGTATATATAGTAAGGCATTTTTGGCCGACAATAACGACCATGTATATATAGTAAGGCATTTTTGGCCGACAATAACGACCATGTATACGAAGGCATTTTTGGTCGAAAATAACGACCATGCATAGTAAGGCGTTTTTCGACGAAAATAACGACTATGTATAGTGAGGCGTTTTTAGCCGAAAATAACGACCATGTATACGAAGGCATTTTTGGTCGAAAAAAAACAACCATGTACAGTAAGGCGTTTTTCGACGAAAATAACGACTATGTATAGTGAGGCGTTTTTAGCCGAAAAAAACGACCATGTATAGTAAGGCATTTTTGGTCGAAAATAACGACCATGTATAGTAAGGCATTTTTGGTCGAAAATAACGACCATGTATAGTAAGGCATTTTTGGTCGAAAATAACGACCATGTATAGTAAGGCATTTTTGGTCGAAAATAACGACCATGTATAGTAAGGCATTTTTGGTCGAAAATAACGACCATGTATAGTAAGGCATTTTTGGTCGAAAATAACGACCATGTATAGTAAGGCATTTTTGGTCGAAAATAACGACCATGTATAGTAAGGCATTTTTGGTCGAAAATAACGACCATGTATAGTAAGGCATTTTTGGTCGAAAATAACGACCATGTATAGTAAGGCATTTTTGGTCGAAAATAACGACCATGTATAGTAAGGCATTTTTGGTCGAAAATAACGACCATGTATAGTAAGGCATTTTTGGTCGAAAATAACGACCATGTATAGTAAGGCATTTTTGGTCGAAAATAACGACCATGTATAGTAAGGCATTTTTGGTCGAAAATAACGACCATGTATAGTAAGGCATTTTTGGTCGAAAATAACGACCATGTATAGTAAGGCATTTTTGGTCGAAAATAACGACCATGTATAGTAAGGCATTTTTGGTCGAAAATAACGACCATGTATAGTAAGGCATTTTTGGTCGAAAATAACGACCATGTATAGTAAGGCATTTTTGGTCGAAAATAACGACCATGTATAGTAAGGCATTTTTGGTCGAAAATAACGACCATGTATAGTAAGGCATTTTTGGTCGAAAATAACGACCATGTATAGTAAGGCATTTTTGGTCGAAAATAACGACCATGTATAGTAAGGCATTTTTGGTCGAAAATAACGACCATGTATAGTAAGGCATTTTTGGTCGAAAATAACGACCATGTATAGTAAGGCATTTTTGGTCGAAAATAACGACCATGTATAGTAAGGCATTTTTGGTCGAAAATAACGACCATGTATAGTAAGGCATTTTTGGTCGAAAATAACGACCATGTATAGTAAGGCATTTTTGGTCGAAAATAACGACCATGTATAGTAAGGCATTTTTGGTCGAAAATAACGACCATGTATAGTAAGGCATTTTTGGTCGAAAATAACGACCATGTATAGTAAGGCATTTTTGGTCGAAAATAACGACCATGTATAGTAAGGCATTTTTGGTCGAAAATAACGACCATGTATAGTAAGGCATTTTTGGTCGAAAATAACGACCATGTATAGTAAGGCATTTTTGGTCGAAAATAACGACCATGTATAGTAAGGCATTTTTGGTCGAAAATAACGACCATGTATAGTAAGGCATTTTTGGTCGAAAATAACGACCATGTATAGTAAGGCATTTTTGGTCGAAAATAACGACCATGTATAGTAAGGCATTTTTGGTCGAAAATAACGACCATGTATAGTAAGGCATTTTTGGTCGAAAATAACGACCATGTATAGTAAGGCATTTTTGGTCGAAAATAACGACCATGTATAGTAAGGCATTTTTGGTCGAAAATAACGACCATGTATAGTAAGGCATTTTTGGTCGAAAATAACGACCATGTATAGTAAGGCATTTTTGGTCGAAAATAACGACCATGTATAGTAAGGCATTTTTGGTCGAAAATAACGACCATGTATAGTAAGGCATTTTTGGTCGAAAATAACGACCATGTATAGTAAGGCATTTTTGGTCGAAAATAACGACCATGTATAGTAAGGCATTTTTGGTCGAAAATAACGACCATGTATAGTAAGGCATTTTTGGTCGAAAATAACGACCATGTATAGTAAGGCATTTTTGGTCGAAAATAACGACCATGTATAGTAAGGCATTTTTGGTCGAAAATAACGACCATGTATAGTAAGGCATTTTTGGTCGAAAATAACGACCATGTATAGTAAGGCATTTTTGGTCGAAAATAACGACCATGTATAGTAAGGCATTTTTGGTCGAAAATAACGACCATGTATAGTAAGGCATTTTTGGTCGAAAATAACGACCATGTATAGTAAGGCATTTTTGGTCGAAAATAACGACCATGTATAGTAAGGCATTTTTGGTCGAAAATAACGACCATGTATAGTAAGGCATTTTTGGTCGAAAATAACGACCATGTATAGTAAGGCATTTTTGGTCGAAAATAACGACCATGTATAGTAAGGCATTTTTGGTCGAAAATAACGACCATGTATAGTAAGGCATTTTTGGTCGAAAATAACGACCATGTATAGTAAGGCATTTTTGGTCGAAAATAACGACCATGTATAGTAAGGCATTTTTGGTCGAAAATAACGACCATGTATAGTAAGGCATTTTTGGTCGAAAATAACGACCATGTATAGTAAGGCATTTTTGGTCGAAAATAACGACCATGTATAGTAAGGCATTTTTGGTCGAAAATAACGACCATGTATAGTAAGGCATTTTTGGTCGAAAATAACGACCATGTATAGTAAGGCATTTTTGGTCGAAAATAACGACCATGTATAGTAAGGCATTTTTGGTCGAAAATAACGACCATGTATAGTAAGGCATTTTTGGTCGAAAATAACGACCATGTATAGTAAGGCATTTTTGGTCGAAAATAACGACCATGTATAGTAAGGCGTTTTTGGCCCGAAAAAAGCGACGATCTATAGTAAGGCGTTTTTGGTCGAAAAAAAAACAACCATGTATATCGAAGGCATTTTTGACTGAAAAAAACGACCATGTATAGTAAGGCATTTTTGGCCCGAAAAAAACGACCATGTATAGTAAGGCATTTTTGGCCCGAAAAAAACGACCATGTATAGTAAGGCATTTTTGGCCCGAAAAAAACGACCATGTATAGTAAGGCATTTTTGGCCCGAAAAAAACGACCATGTATAGTAAGGCATTTTTGGCCCGAAAAAAACGACCATGTATAGTAAGGCATTTTTGGCCCGAAAAAAACGACCATGTATAGTAAGGCATTTTTGGCCCGAAAAAAACGACCATGTATAGTAAGGCATTTTTGGCCCGAAAAAAACGACCATGTATAGTAAGGCATTTTTGGCCCGAAAAAAACGACCATGTATAGTAAGGCATTTTTGGCCCGAAAAAAACGACCATGTATAGTAAGGCATTTTTGGCCCGAAAAAAACGACCATGTATAGTAAGGCATTTTTGGCCCGAAAAAAACGACCATGTATAGTAAGGCATTTTTGGCCCGAAAAAAACGACCATGTATAGTAAGGCATTTTTGGCCCGAAAAAAACGACCATGTATAGTAAGGCATTTTTGGCCCGAAAAAAACGACCATGTATAGTAAGGCATTTTTGGCCCGAAAAAAACGACCATGTATAGTAAGGCATTTTTGGCCCGAAAAAAACGACCATGTATAGTAAGGCATTTTTGGCCCGAAAAAAACGACCATGTATAGTAAGGCATTTTTGGCCCGAAAAAAACGACCATGTATAGTAAGGCATTTTTGGCCCGAAAAAAACGACCATGTATAGTAAGGCATTTTTGGCCCGAAAAAAACGACCATGTATAGTAAGGCATTTTTGGCCCGAAAAAAACGACCATGTATAGTAAGGCATTTTTGGCCCGAAAAAAACGACCATGTATAGTAAGGCATTTTTGGCCCGAAAAAAACGACCATGTATAGTAAGGCATTTTTGGCCCGAAAAAAACGACCATGTATAGTAAGGCATTTTTGGCCCGAAAAAAACGACCATGTATAGTAAGGCATTTTTGGCCCGAAAAAAACGACCATGTATAGTAAGGCATTTTTGGCCCGAAAAAAACGACCATGTATAGTAAGGCATTTTTGGCCCGAAAAAAACGACCATGTATAGTAAGGCATTTTTGGCCCGAAAAAAACGACCATGTATAGTAAGGCATTTTTGGCCCGAAAAAAACGACCATGTATAGTAAGGCATTTTTGGCCCGAAAAAAACGACCATGTATAGTAAGGCATTTTTGGCCCGAAAAAAACGACCATGTATAGTAAGGCATTTTTGGCCCGAAAAAAACGACCATGTATAGTAAGGCATTTTTGGCCCGAAAAAAACGACCATGTATAGTAAGGCATTTTTGGCCCGAAAAAAACGACCATGTATAGTAAGGCATTTTTGGCCCGAAAAAAACGACCATGTATAGTAAGGCATTTTTGGCCCGAAAAAAACGACCATGTATAGTAAGGCATTTTTGGCCCGAAAAAAACGACCATGTATAGTAAGGCATTTTTGGCCCGAAAAAAACGACCATGTATAGTAAGGCATTTTTGGCCCGAAAAAAACGACCATGTATAGTAAGGCATTTTTGGCCCGAAAAAAACGACCATGTATAGTAAGGCATTTTTGGCCCGAAAAAAACGACCATGTATAGTAAGGCATTTTTGGCCCGAAAAAAACGACCATGTATAGTAAGGCATTTTTGGCCCGAAAAAAACGACCATGTATAGTAAGGCATTTTTGGCCCGAAAAAAACGACCATGTATAGTAAGGCATTTTTGGCCCGAAAAAAACGACCATGTATAGTAAGGCATTTTTGGCCCGAAAAAAACGACCATGTATAGTAAGGCATTTTTGGCCCGAAAAAAACGACCATGTATAGTAAGGCATTTTTGGCCCGAAAAAAACGACCATGTATAGTAAGGCATTTTTGGCCCGAAAAAAACGACCATGTATAGTAAGGCATTTTTGGCCCGAAAAAAACGACCATGTATAGTAAGGCATTTTTGGCCCGAAAAAAACGACCATGTATAGTAAGGCATTTTTGGCCCGAAAAAAACGACCATGTATAGTAAGGCATTTTTGGCCCGAAAAAAACGACCATGTATAGTAAGGCATTTTTGGCCCGAAAAAAACGACCATGTATAGTAAGGCATTTTTGGCCCGAAAAAAACGACCATGTATAGTAAGGCATTTTTGGCCCGAAAAAAACGACCATGTATAGTAAGGCATTTTTGGCCCGAAAAAAACGACCATGTATAGTAAGGCATTTTTGGCCCGAAAAAAACGACCATGTATAGTAAGGCATTTTTGGCCCGAAAAAAACGACCATGTATAGTAAGGCATTTTTGGCCCGAAAAAAACGACCATGTATAGTAAGGCATTTTTGGCCCGAAAAAAACGACCATGTATAGTAAGGCATTTTTGGCCCGAAAAAAACGACCATGTATAGTAAGGCATTTTTGGCTGAAAAAAACGACCATGTATAGTCAGGCATTTTTGGCCGAAAATAACGACCATGTATAGTAAGGCGTTTTTGGCCCGAAAAAAAACGCCCATGTATAGTAAGGCGTTTTTAGCTGAAAAAAAACGACCATGTGTAGTAAGGCGTTTTTGGCCCGAAAAAAAACGACCATGTATCGTAAGGCGTTTTTGGCTGAAAATAACGACCATTGAATTTTATATAAAATTTTAAAACAAAAACACAAAATGTACATCTTTGACATGATCTCATGTTGAAAGTTATTAAAAAAAAATAGTTGATGTATTTTTCTTGAGGGATGACACGTTTACATCAATTACGTCACAAAACAAATGAAATTTTAAAACGACATTCACTCGGCGAATTTAAGTCATTCCAGACAAGAAATGAAAGTAAGTCCCTTTTTGGATGCTGGAAAAAGAAAAAATCTGTTTGTCATTGCATATAAATCAATCAATAAATGTATGTCGGGCGTGGGATTGAGTGTGTGTGGGCCACGTGACCTTGAGCGACCCTGCGCATCTTCCACCCTGGCCTCACCGTGGAGCCGGCGTGGCCCATCGCTAACGATGCAGCGCGCTCGTATAGGCGCATACATGATCTGGCGTTAGCAGGCGCTCCATCACCCCCCCCACCCAAAACGCCAAGCGACCTGCTCGTCAATCCGGCCATGATGGCGGCTCGCGCCGCTCATTAGTGTGTAAAGCGCCCGCGGCTGCTGCGCCGGGCCTCTCTCGGAGCTGTCGTATAAAATATGGATGGACCCCGGAGAGCGAGCTAACAACCCATCGCGCGGCATCGCTTCTTCCCACCGACTTGGCAGAGGAGGAGCCCATTGACAAAGTGCGGAGACGAGACGCTTGCTCGCTCGGATCTTGAAACGCCGCCGACTTCCCTTATACTGAGGCCACGTTGACACAAATGGGATCGACGGCAAGCGATCCCCCCCCC